CTTTCAATTTACTCTGTCATGATAATCATTCAAAGTTGAATCATGTAATCCAATCAACCAATGGTCAGTTATCATCATGGACACAGGTGTAAATCAAAAACTAAGGGTGTGTATTTGGTGACCAATCGTTTGAAATATATTGAGTTATCATGGTTAAGAAATGATTTCCAGGAGCAAAATGATTCAATTTTTTCCTAAGAATTTAAAATCACTCTGGAAATATTAACAATGCTCTGGGCTATTTATGAATGATTGACCTCACAAGGTAAACATTTTTTCATCTTCACCATCATCATCATCTCTCTCTCTCTCTCTCTCTCTCTCTCTCTCTCTCTCTCTCTCTCTCTTTCTTTCTTTCTCTCTCTGTTCTCTGTAAAATATTTTGCCCAAATTGATGAAGGTAAGAAAAATGGAGAAGATGAAAGAAAATTTTGATTTTATAAAAGTGAGAAATCTACTCAACCTTCAACCATTTGGAAATCATCATTATCTTCATCATCATCATCGTCCTTAGGCCATTTGATTATAAAGTTTGTCGTTTCATCGTCATGTCTTTTTTTACAATCAGATCAGAATCAATGTTTAGATTGAGGAGAAAAAATTGAGATAGAAATTCAATTTCATGATGATGAATAAAGTTAATCAATTGAACATGAAGTAAACTGAAAAATGAAACAAAGTTCATCATTTATCATGTTGTTAAAATTTCAAAGCTAAAATTAACTTATAACTTTTACCTCGACAAAAGTTTCAGTGTCACTTGATTGTTGTTTATAATTAATGATGATTTATTATTAATGTGTGAAGATCTTTGTTGATGTATGAGTCACAATTAGCTGGATATTTAATAAATTGTAACGATATTCATTATATTATCATTTCAATATTATAAATTACTGGCGTTGGAGTTAAACTTTAATGCTTTAAATCAGAATCCAAATTTATCATGTAATTGTTTCCATGTTTCTTGTGATGATTGTTGATCAAGTCTAAACCTTAGATTCATGAATATCATTACCATTGCAATTAAACTAATCAACTGAATCTTGATGAAAATAAGTAATAACAATAATCATCATTATAATGAGAGAGATATGATTCCGTAGGAGGTGATAGTAAATGGTAGTTATCATTATCATCATGTTAAGAGGATGAGAGAGAGAGAGAGAGATGAGAAAATGCTTGCGGGAAGAAAAAAAGGTTTGGTTAAGAGAGAGAAAGACAAAATGAAGATGAGAAGAAGATGAAAATAATGAAGGTAAGAATGAGAGAGAGAGAAAGAGAGAGATAATGATGATGATGAGAAAAATGGGAACATGAGTAACAAGTAGAGTACAAAAGGTGAAAGGTAAAAGTTGGACAGAGAAAAAATCATAGAGATACAGGTCGCTAGCAAATTCATTTGACCATTTTCGAACAAAATTTTCGCAGCGAAGATCAAATTTTTTTTTCGATTTTTTTATACTATTTGATAGATAAATGTTTCGACAATATTATACAAAAAAAATTTGATTAAAATATTGAACCATTTGGCCGCAATTTGATTTGAGACAAAAAGATCAGTTTTAGGTTGGTTTTTCTCTATGGAGATTTAACATGGGGGCGGAGCTCGATTTTCGAGTTTGAAAAATCGTGAAATTTCATTTAATTATATTTCGAAAACTAAATGAGATAAAACTTTCAAATAAAAAATTTTTAAAAATTTTTGCCAATCTCTATATTCTGACCAAAAAGCAGTAAATTACTATAATTCATACGAATTTTATTAGAGATCAAAAAAAATTTTGCTTAAAACAATTCGAATTTTACTTTTTTGTTCAAATTCGAATTGTGGCCAAACTGATTAACCAAATGAAAAATAAATTTTGGATCTAAATTTTTGAATAAATTTCCAATAAAATTAGTACTTAATTAATAATTTTATTAATAGATTGATTAGAGTAAATTAATGTCAAAAATGGTCAAATGAATTTGCTAGCGACCTGTACAATAGTAACACTAATCAAGGTAAGAATACACAAGGTCCACCCTCGTGTTTATTAACCTTAAGGTCATCATCAGTTGGTCAAGGTACAAAGGAAACAGGATAAACCCTCTCGGTGATGATAGAAGATGAGGAGAAGAAGAAGAAGAGAAAAAAAAAATCTTTACCTTTACTTTTACCTTGATCATCTTCTCATTGGAAACTTGTTGTTTCTCTCACTGTTAATATTTGTTCAAACAAAACTGATCATTATTTTCAATTCGTCACAACAATTTGGTCACGGAGGTTTGTTTCTTGGGAATAACCATCATCTTCATCCCTTAATCGTTATCCTCATGAATATAATCAGATATTTACCTTTATTCTGTGGCTTTTACTAATCTAATCCTCTTCCTTTATCTTCATTGACAAGCCAATAAGATATGGTTGATGAGATTGATTAATAGACGCTTGTTGTTGTTATTTGTTTCTTGTTAATCTTACCATTGTTACTTCAGTAGGTTCACCTTGATTTTCACTGTAAGAAACAAAAAGCATCATCATCAACAACAACAAAAACAATAGCTACCTGCTTGTTGATAATGATGATGATGGTGATGGTGATGAGGATGAAGATGAAGATTCAGTTTGTTGTTTTCTTTTTTCTTCCAAAACATAAGAGAGAGAAAAAATCTTCTTCTTTTTTTTCTCAGACCAAAGAATCTTTAATCATTAGTATATATATTATGTTGTGGGCTCAAGAGGGTGGAGGTGGTCACAGGGAGGAAGTTCCCAACTCCTCCGGAAGTACAACCACATTGGAGACACAATTTTTTTATCCATTTATCTTTTACCAGATAATGAATATCATGGAACCATTTTCATACCTTCTCATTGAATATCATCATTTATCTTTTCTCTTTCTCTCTCTCTCTCACACACACATAAAACCCCATGAACACCCTGAGTTTTATCATCTTTTCTCGTCTTCATTTTCATCTTCTTTTTGTTTCTTCTCTTCTTGCTTTTTTCTTTACTTCATCTTCTCTTTGTTTTCAGTTCATCATCATCAACCTCATCATATTATGCAAGGAGGTAAATAAATTTCACGGTCATTTTGTTGATAATTTACCTTTGCCTTCATCCTCATTATCCTCATCATCTTTTTTTTCATATTATTTTTTTTTCTTTTTCGTTTTCGTTTTATTTTTATTTTTATTTTTCTTGCTTCTGAGTTTTGTTTTTCTGCTTTAAACCTTACCATTTCAACCATGCAATGAATAGTAATGATATAATATAATATTTGAAATACGTTATCATGATTATGATGATTCTCAAATCATTTCTACCTGTAAACCCTTTCATGTTTGTTTGCATGCATTTGCATTGAACCATCAATTGAACTTGCAAATAAAATTATATACAAGAAAAAAACAGCAAGATTCATGATTAGATTATCATTATCATTGATATATTTTTGCTATTAATCAGTTCAACAAGCCAGTTTCAAATAATAACCATGATAATCTTTGGGTAATCATTGAATAATATATTCAACAATAACAATAATAATAATAGTAAAGGATAAGGATGATAAATGTAGCCAAATGTTAATGAATTTACTTTTAACGTTCACTATCATAATGATTATCAGCATTTGAATTGATTTTCATGATTACCTTTATCATCAACATTATGGTTTTTACTTTTCTTGTGGTTTCATGATAAGTGATGATGAAAATAACAGAGATGAATCAAGAGTAAAGGTAAACATGGAAGAGAAGATGAAAATTTGGTAACAATTTATGATCATCAAGATAAATAATAGTAAATGAGAGGGAACCGAGAGCAAGAGAGAGAGAGAGAGCTGATGGTGAGCTTGATGATGATAAAGGATGATGAGAGGTTGAATTGGGTAAAAATTACATTGAGATTCAGTGGTGTTTGTTGTTGTTGTTGTTGATTGTAATCCAATGGGAAATATAAAAATAAAAGTAAATGGATGAAACTTAATTACTGATCAATTTGTAGCTCATCATTATCATCATATGATGATAATGAAAAAGGGACTTTAATGACAATAAGATAACAATTGGTAATTGTAAGGAAACTCAATTGGTAAAATGTTTCTTCAAACGTTTTACCTTTCGCCTTATCATTATCATCATCATCTTCTTCTTCATCTTCATTTTCATCCTCAGTATTTGGTTCAATGATAATTTCATTTGACACTATTGTCTATTAGCCTTTGTTATCTATTTGGTCTTGATAAAAACTCACAAGATGATGAGGATGAGGAGGAGAATGGGAAGACAAAGTCTCTCTCTCTCTCTCTCACTTTTGGTGGCAGGAACTTGTAAAGAAAGACAAAGGAAGATGAAGAAAGAGAAAAGTTTTGTTTTTTTTTCTTGATTTCTCTCTTCTTCCTCCTAAGGGAAACTGATAAGTTACCAGAAAAAGTTGTCGATAATGAGGATGATCCCTTTGATGAAACAGAGTCTCCAGAGGTCAATAGTAACAATATTTGCTTACACATTTACCCAATCAAACACCTTTCATCATCATCCTCATCCCCTTATCTTCATCATCACTGCAATTCTTTCACTTCCTATCCCATAGATTCATTATTATCTCTCATCAGAACAACACAACCAACAGAGAAGCAAAAAAAAAAAATTCTTACCTTCTGAACCTTATTGTTTATCTTTCCAATCCAAACTCAACATCTTCACAACACCCATGAGATATTTCCAATTCAGTAATCTATTACTTCCTCTCATCATCATCATCATCATCTTTACCTTAATAACAATACTAATATTTAATCGAAGTGATAACTCTTGTTATCTCAACATTTCGATGAGAAACAATTTCTCATAAATGTAAATCGTAATTTCCGCTCAAATTGGAATTCCACCCAACCGGCAGATGGAGTGACTTTCGAAGAAAAAGTAAGAGGGAGACTAAGGGAAAAGAGAGAAAGAGAAAAGGAATTTGTCTCTCTTTTCTTTGGTTAAGTTTATTCACCAAACGGATCTCAAGCTGTAAACATGATAAGTGGTGGAAACTATTTCATTGTTCATATCTAACTGGTTTCCTTTCTTTTCTCTTTCTTTTTTCTCTCTTTTAAAAATCTTTGTGACTTGTTTTCGATTATATTTTTCTATTCTAAAGAGAAAAGAATTTATCTCTCTTTTTTTTTATTTTCTCTCTTTTTTCTTTTCTCTCTCATCCAATGATCCAATGACTTTTTCCATCATCAACATCATCTTTAATTGTTTAATTCTGACTCAAGAACAACAGACTGTCTTCTTCTTCTTGTTCTACTAATTGTTGATCAATTTTTGTTTTATTCTTCAAAAAGAATATTCTTTTTCTTTTCTTCTCTCCTTGTATCTTCTTGTTTGGTGGAAAAAAAGAATAATTTTTGTTCTTTTCTCTAGTTGTGTCTCCATCTTTGTGTCTGTGTTGTGTTTACTTATTTTTCTTTTCTTCGGCTTATTCGGTGTTAATGTTCTTAATCCGGTCTTATCTTATTAACTCTAGTGGACAATTTTGTGGGAAATTAACATTGACCAAAATGGATTCATCAATTACCATGGACTAATTACTAATTCCATACATCCACTAATTGATTAATTTCAATCTAATTGTTTTTGTTTTTCTTCGTTTTTTTTTGTTTCTTTTTGTTTTCTTCGGATATTTTGTCCAAAATCTTTATTCTTCTTTCATTCTCACATGGCTTATCACCATTTCTGTGTCACTTTATCATCTTTAACACTTACACTTGCTTTCTTACTTCATTTCTCACCGACGATTTATTCAAATGCTGCCGAATTGTTTCAAGATGAAACAAGAAAGTCTAGTAAGTTTGACTCACTCAATTTTTCATTCAATAGATTGTGTGTAATTTCAAGTGTAGTATTGTGATCAAGAGATTATCATTGATTCATTGTTCTTGTGGAAATTTTTTCTTCTTTTCTATCATTTTTTGTTTGTTCATTTTTCTAATATTATTTATTCATTTTTTGTTTATTTTTTTTCTTTTTTCTCCCATTTCCCTTTCCTTCATTTATTTTACCTTTTCTGTTATTATTTTCAAACCCATTAGTTGTTTCTGAAAAATCTTTACCATTACGACCTCCTGTCCGGAATGATCGAGGTAAGATTTTAATAACATTAGCAATTTAATTGCGTGTCTATGTGTTGACTGTCAATCAATTGGATAAAACAACAAAGTTATATTATCATTGTTACTTTGTTTTCTTCATTTTCATGGGTGAACATGAATCCGGAACTTGAATTAACCAAACAAATTGCTTAATTTGTATATTTGTTTCTCATTCTCTATTTTCTATCATATCATATTAGTTGACTAATATTTTCTTTCTTTTGTTTTTATTTTCTTTTTCATGTAAATTCCATGATGATTTTTTATTATCATAATCTCTCTCAGGTCACATCGAGTATAAAACAACCTATGCCTGTGATGGAAATGTTCTGAGTCTCTCATGTAGACCAAATGAATCAATTCATTTAGTTCGAGCCAATTATGGTCGTTTTAGTTTAAGTATTTGCAATGATGGAGGTAAATTGGACCTTCGAGTAAATTGTATGTCATTTAGATCTTATCTTAACATGCAAGACAGGTAAGTTTTCTGATTTTCTTTTTACCTTTATTTATATTTATCCCCATGTTGTTTATTAATCTTGACAATGAGAGAAAACTAAACTCTTCTTCTTCTTATTCTTGACAGTCTATATTAATTATTAATCCATAATATTATTATATATTCTTATATTATATTCAATAGATGCTCTGGTAAATCAAAATGTAATGCTACTGTCTCAAGTAATTTGTTTGGTGACCCTTGTCCAGGAACACCTAAATACCTGGAAGTTCAATATCATTGTGTACCAAATTGTAAGTGTCCTTTATTTTTATCTATTGTGTCTATTTACCTGACAATAACTTTTATATGTACATATATTCATATATATTACCTATTTATGGGATAATCATTGTGATACCTTTTTCAAAGTTATAAATAAATAACAATAGTTAGAAAAGGGAAGAAAAAGATTAAGTAAAAGAGATTGAGATTTAGATGATTGAGAGAATTAAAATATTGAGATGATGATGATGATGATATTTTGTCACATATATACACTTTTCCTCTTGTCCATCTTACAATTGTGTGTATGTATGTGTGTGTAAATGTGAAGATGTCTTTGGGTTAAGGGGCTTATTTTACCAATGAAGATGATGTATTCTCATTGTAAGATGAAAGATATCCTCTAGGGAATAAAAGAATAAGATAAATGCTGATATACATATTATGCTGATGATGATGATAAGTATTAAGAAAAACGAAGAAGATACTGAAGATGGAGAATACAATATATAAATAACAATAACAAACAATCATTTCAATGATAATCAACTGACAACATTATCAACCTTTTGGTATATACATGAATACATTAACGATGAAAGTTCAAGCCTAAAAGGTACAATTTTCACACAATCAGATGACAAACTTTCACAATCAAAGGAGAAAAAAGGTCAGAATGATTGCCGGATGATTGTGAAGAAGATTATGTTGACCATCAATTTAATCAGTTACTCTCATGAATTATATTAGTAAATGAGAGAGACAGATAGATAGATGGATGGATAGAAGAGAGAAAAACATTTCTACTTAACATGTTTTACCCTATCAATTTTAATCCAACTCTCTTAATCCTAATCCCTACAATTATCATCAATCAGAAAATCCTTCCTTTCAAGAGTATTTCTCTCATGATGATCTTGTTTCTTTTCTTATTTTACAAGAAAAGATTATCAAAAATCACAGAGAGATTTAAACTAGATATTAGTTAGATGTCTCTCATCATCTCCTTATGTTTGTTAAGTTTGATGATCTTTTATCAACAAACAAACAAACAAAGCAAAACAATACATTTACATCACCAGAACAACAACAACAACAACAACCTCACCTTATTCATAATCTCATCATGCATAGCTGAAACTGAATAACTATGTTACTTGTTCATCAAATGACTTTTATTCAGTTGCAGTCGTCATCAGAACTTTTTTTTGCTTCTCAAGTGTGTCAACCACATTAGCATCAATTTAATGTATGTGTAGTATGTGTGGTGTATATAAATAATATAATTGTAATAATTGTAAACACAATGAACTGACCAGTCTCTCTCCTATTCTCTCTCTCTTTCTCTCTTTCCTTTCTCTCTTACTGTTGATGTTGATTAAAGTTAATTGAATCAGGTCAAGTGAGTTTGTTGTTAGTTAATTGAAGACGATGAAGAAGAAGAAGAAGTAAATTGTAACTGGTTATCATTATTATAATGATAATGATAATAATCATAACGAATTCACAGTTAATGGAAATACAAAAAAAGTGGGAAGTTATAAGATGATGATTATTGTTGAAGATGAGAGCATGATAGAGTTGATAATGATGATTAACATGTCTCTGTGTGTGTGTGTGTTTTTATGTACCAATATATTGATGATTTGTATTTCTTTGCATACAAATTGAGTAAGCAAAAAAAAATCACCCAAAATGTTAATCTAATTGACTGAACACTAGAAAGCCCAGTAAACCACAGCTACTATTTAGTTATAATAGTTAACAATCAAGATAAATTAACGTTGATTTAACGGTTTTACTTGAAATCATCTCTCTCTCTCTCTTATCCAGTGTATTAGTAACATTGTATTTGTGGTGGTGGTTTAGACTAATCTAATTAAAATTGACTAGATTGACAAGTAGTACAATTTAACATTTAGAATTGGTTGTTTACTGTATATTACATGTTGTTATCATTATGTATTTATTGATGCTAATATTTACGTTTAATATTGTTGTTACTTTTTGCTGCTGTTTCTTCATCATACATCGTATAAATGTACTAGAATTAAATGTATTTATATGTACTTATCATCATTATCATCAGCATTTGTTTGTATACTTGGTTGATTTTCCGTATTTATACACTTTTCTGTCTATTTTTCTTTATCTCTCATTCTCTCTCTCTCCCTCCAACACACATTCACAATTGTATTGAGTTAGTTACCATGAAAATGATGATTGAGAGATGAAAGATGCTCTAGGGAGAAGGAAAAGAAAAATGAAAATGAATGATGCTACTGGATGATGATGATAATGATGAAAAGGAAGGAAGAAGATGATGAAACTGAAGAAGACAAAAAAAAACAATATAACAATAACAAACAGCATTTGAATGATAATAATAACCAGCTGACAGGATCGTCTACCTTATATATAAACATACACAATACATTGACATGAAAATTTAAGCTTAAAAGTTGAAATTTTCACACAATCAGACAAACTTTGAACCAGAAAAGGTCAACATGATGATGGTGATAATGATGATCAGTTACATTCAAATATATTATTACATTATCGCAAACATTACATTTTTTTACGTATCCTCATCAATTTCAACTCTCTCTCTCTCACCATCATCATCTTAATCCCCTATTATTATTCATCAGAAATCCATTTTTTTCACTGATTGCATTTCCTTATATTATTATCACTATCATTATTGACATTGATCTTGATAATATAATCATCATCATCATCATCAACATGATCTGCATCCTTCAATTTTTTCATTGATCATTTTCCAGGGTTGAAAGATTCTCGCTTTTCTGTTTCAATATTTGTTTCTATCTCTTTCTTACCTCTAACACTTTGCATCATTTTTCTTCATCAATATTTTCCATCTTCTTCTCATCTTAATCATCTCGTTTCTTACGCTCTCCTTTACTTTTCTCCTCTTCTTTTTTTTCTTGATGAAAAGAATTGGGAACAAAAAAAATCACATAGTTGAAAAAGAGATTGACAGTATCATTAACTAACATTAACTAACATCATCCATAATAATAATGATATTAAGATGCAACTTTGCTCGTTGACACTTGAAACAGTTGCTCTAGTTGTTGTTTACTTTGTTTATCACTTTGATTACAGAAAAAGTTAATGAAAACATATATATTCAATGTGTGTATTTTTGCCACTTGATGTTATCATGATAATTGACTTACCTTTTTCCCACCTTACACATTAAGGTAGATAGAAAGAGAGAGAGAGAGAATGAAAGTCATGTAATCAAAGGTCATTTTATTCATATCATCACTTTTATTATTTTCATTATATTAAGATGATAATAATAAAATTCATGATACTAAATGTATTTAGTTTGAATAGTGAAGGCGTTGGTGTTAATCATTTTCTCACAGTTATGGGTATTATCACTAAATGCAACATGAAAATGATGTTAAGAAATGAACATGTTAGTGATTAAGATTGCAAATTATGATATTATGTTGTTGTTATTATTACCAATTTGTTTTTACTCTAAAATTTTTTCATTCTTTTATTTTTGTTCTCTTGGGTATCATCTCTTACCTGGCATATTCATTTATCTGTTTCCATCTTGGTTCAGTGGCTCCAACATCGTCTTCATCATCACCCTCTTCCTCGGTATCATCTTTACCATCATCCGTATCATCATCATCATCATCATCATCATTACCGTCATTATTACCAATTACTTCAACAACCCGACGACCACCCTTAGATGCAGCCTTACCTATTGATGCTCGAATCCTGAGACCGTCCACTAAACTGATCGATCGGCAGATTGAATCATCAACCACCTCCTATTACGCACCATCACCCTTACCACCCCTGCAACCACCACCATTGCCACCACCACCACCGCCACCGTATTCAAATAATAATAAAAATGATGATGGTTTTCTGAAACACATATGATACCTAAAGCAACAAATGATTACCATAAACCACAAGTGTATCATAATACATATCCATCATCCATATCAAATGTTGGTGATGTCTTATCAACTCAAAATAAACCTTCAACACAACCAACAACAATTGTCTTCCGTCATCTTCATGAGGATAATGTTTTCTCACCTAAATGTGTTTACTGGTCACCTAAAGCATCTGATTGGTTGTCCGATGGTTGTTCAGTTGCTTCAACTAATATAACTCATACTATTTGTCAATGTGATCATATGAGTTCCTTTGCATTATTAATGGAGGTTCGTTCACCATCATCAGCTGATGATGTTGATGAAAGATTGTCCAAACTTCAAAGTTTTTCATCTAGCCAAGCATTGATAATCAATTCACGGGTTATTGGAGAGACAATTGATCATGATTCACTGTCTCCATCATCTATAGTAAATTTTGCCGATTTTCCATCATCTCATAATACACCTTTACCACAACCGATAACCATTGTTTTCCGTCATCTTCACGAGGAAAATGTATTCTCACCTCGATGTGTTTACTGGTCTCCCAAAGTATCCGACTGGTCAACCGATGGTTGTTCAGTTGCCACCACCAATTTAACCCATACAGTTTGTCAATGTGATCACTTGAGTTCCTTTGCTTTATTAATGGAAGTTCATTTACCACCATCATCATCTTCATCGTCATCATCAACATTTAATTTAGATGATGATGAAAGTATACCCATTAATTGGTTACGATTAGTGGTCATCATTGCATCTGGAATCAGTGCTTTGTGTCTTTTGTTTATCTTAATGATTTTGTACACTATCCATGGAGATAATCGTGAAGTCCTTTCCATCCATAAAGATCTTTGTCTAACATTACTTATTGTTCAGGTTACCTTTTTCATTGGAATCTTTCAAACAGATAATTTACTCCCATGTATCCTTTCCGCTGGAATACTTCACTATTTCTTACTTTCTTCCTTCTTGTGGACATTCCTTGAATCATTTGACCATTTTCTTAATTTAATTGAAGTTTTTGAAACAATTAAAACAACCAATCGTATTTGGTGGTATTATTACCTTGCTTTTGGAGGACCAGGTCTTGTTACCTTGTTATCACTTTTCATCAACCCTCACTCTTATGGATCTGCCAACTATTGCTGGATAAGAATTGATATAACCCTTTGGTTAACCCTTGTGGGTCCTTGTGTACTTGCACTGATCGCCTCCTTTGTATTCATTTGTATATCTGGATTCATTGTTTGCCACAATAGCGCCATATCAACAGCTCTAAAAGGCAAAGAGCAATTAAAAGTTGAAGATATTCGTTGTGGCCTGAAATGGATTACATTTCTACTTTTATTCCAGTGTATCAATTGGATTACCTGCTATGCCTATTTAACTAATCAAACTTCAATCCCATTGGGATTAACTTTCGCCTGTTTCAATTGTTTACTTGGATTTTATTGTATAATATTTTGTATCATCCGAACCGATTCAGTTCAACATCATAAAATCGCTCAACATTTACCTCTAATGGATTGGTGTTTTGATGGAAGTGAAACTGTAACTTCAACCAAAGAAAGTGTCTTCGTAGGATCAACACACAATGGCTTAAATCACAATCATCATCATCATCATACACATTCATCAAGTCTTTATGGTCCCAGTCCAGTGATACCGGTGGTAACTCATGTAACAACACAGGTTTCACCCTATTCTGATGGTACAATCAGAACATTTAAAACATCACATATAATCAATAATACACTGGCACTTTACGAGTCAATTGAATCACCGCCACCACCATTAGCAACATCGTCATCATCAACATCATCTACAAATAATAGTGGATCTAATACTTTAAATAATTTACAACAATTAAACAATCGTCCACAAAATCATCATAATAATCATATTGTAAATAATATTCCAGCAACATCAACTGTGGTTACATTAATGGGTAACACTAATGGTACCACAACATTTTTATCTATGTCACCATCATCTTCATCTTCATCAACCGGAGGAATAGCAGGAGGGAATCAACAGAAACAACATCATCAACAGCAAATTCAACAACAACATTTACAGCAATTACAACAAAATCAACTAATTTCATCTCAACAACATCATCACAATAATATGTCTCTTGGTGTTTATGGTCAATCAACAATGCCACATACTAACAATTTAAATTTAAACAATTCAAAGATGATAATCGGAGGAGGATTAGGAAGTAATCGTAATCATTCATCATTAATGTTAAACCAATCACTTGGTCTCTATGAATCGATTGAACCTCCATCACCAGAATCATCACCGACACCTTATCATCACACATCTCGTAATCAAATTTACCTTGGCCATGGGTCTCTAAGTCAACAACATCATCAACAACAACATTTAATAGGAACAACCTCTGGAAGAAAACATAGAATGCTGATTCCATCAGATTTTCCTGTATAATAATAGAAACACAGACCAGCATAATTACTGCTATCTAATTGCTATAAATATAATAATTATTGCTACAAGAAAATTGAACAAGTCATGATGATAGAAATTTACAGTTAATATATAATGATGATGATTTAAAGTGTAAATCAACTCATTCCAAACTGCCTGTTGATCTTCATATACAATTACCATCAACACAAAACAAAAACTCAATAACTCAATTGGATTGAAAAGTTGAACAAGAAAATTACGATTTCCATGTAATCTATGAACAAGTCAGGCTACAATTTCCACTGCCGATGGATTTTCTGGTTACTTTCCATCATCTTCCCTGGAAAAGTTGATGATTTATCTTTAATGAGGGACAATACCAATAATCTGTACTCATTTATACGATAACTCAATTCAAGTTAAATTACGAATGACCAATTACCTGGAACACGCTGAGGGCGGCAACTTTTTGCTCAGCATTTTCAATACAATAGTCAAACCAATCACTTAATATAATGGTAAGTTTAAAGTTTCCTGGTTGATGTCATGTTTTCAAATAGCGAATTGATTGTTGTTTGTACGTATTCTTGATTCTGATTGTTGTTAGTTAATTACTTTTATATTATGAGTCTACTTTTTATGTATATATTTAGTCATGTTTATTCTAGAAAAATTGTGTTTTCGTTTTCATCCTGAAATTTAAGGTAAATCAGTTATTCAATTGCTCATGAATTTATCTCATTCATTAATTCATGAAAAATTGACTCTATCCATGAGAGATTCAGATGATTAATGTAATGAGATTCTTGTTGGTGTTTCTATTTTGTCAGTGTTTTGTTTCTAATTCTGATTCCTGTTCATCTCTCATGAGATTTTAACTTTTTTTTTCTTCTTTTCTACTCCAACGTTTTTTTATCATCATCTTTTTACCTCTCTTCCTTTCATCTTTGTTCACATTAGTTATAATAGTAGAAAAATATTCTTACCTTTGTCTTTCTTTGTAATTCCGTCTGACAAAACTTATGATGGTACCTAATATATATATGAAGTCAAGGGGAGTAGGTAGGTAAAAATTGCAAAAACACGTCTACGAGGTGGCCCCTTATACTGACTTTTTATCCGCCCCGTCTATCTCATTGAAATTAACTTTTTCTCTCTCTCTCCATCCTCTTCATTATCCTCATCATTTTCTTGTTTCTTCTTGCATTTCTTACCTGGAGGCCCTTTTACGTTTTCCTTTCTTTCTCATAGGCTAATTACCTTTGCAGGTTTTGTATCTTGCACGATTACTTTATATACACTTACATACTTTATTTGTACTCTGTTAGCCTCAAATCAACTTCTCTCTCAGGATCCGTTCGTGGTTAACTCCCTTTCTCTCTCTCTCTTTCTTTCTTTCTTTCTTTCCTTCTCTTTTCTTACTTTCTCATCTTATTTTCTGTGTTTAATCAATCTGCTTTCTTTCTGTCTCTTTCTTTTCTTTGTCATCCATCTTATATTTTTCTTCTTACCTTTTTCTCCATCATCATCTTCTCTTTTTATTATTGATACTTTCTTACTATTCCACCACTAAAAAACACTTCTATTCCCTCCCTTTAAATCTTGACCAAAAAAGACGTTCACTTTGGTATTAAATTAACTATTGACTGACTTTTGCCTCCTTTGTATTTACTATTATCTTTTTATTTATTAGGTAAACCCAAAAACTTTTTCTTTTACGGTTTTTTAAAGTTACAGTTGTGAGCAATTAAGAAATGATTAAGGAAAATATAATTTAACTATTAACATAAACTATCGTTTATTACAAGACTTACAGATCAATCATCATAGTTAATTAAATTATCCATCTTTTCAGTGAACCATGTCATTCAAGTAATTTCCCTAATTGTGGTTTAATTGTTTATTAAATAGCTTCAATTTAATTACAATTACAAAACTTACGATACAATTTTTCCGACTCTTTATTTTTTTAATTGCTCGAAACCTTTTTAGATTTTACCTTAATAATAAGTTTCAGATTAAATGATAATGAAAAATTTGTTTCTGATATTTATCAATGAAAATTGATGAGGAAGATGAAGATGAGAGATTTGATTTCTTCTGTCTCTTCATCTTGAAATACATGTTCCTCTTATGATCTTCATCTCTCTCTCTCTCTCTCTCTCTCTCTCTCTCTCTCTCTCTCTCTTTCTTTCTTTTTTTCTTTCTTTCTCTAACTCAACATTTTATCATCAACATCAGAGTAATCATTTTATATATGTAAGGTTGGGTCTAAATGGTTGTTGATTGATAAGATTCAAGGCCAATTAATGAATTTAATTTTCAAGTGAATTACTTGGTTTAGCCAGTAACCCTAACCCTAAGTAACCCTCAACTATATAAATGTATATTAAATCTTTCTCTCTCAATATCTTCTCTCTCACTCTTTATCTTCCTCCTTGTCTTCCTTTCTATCCATCTTATTTGAAACACTTACACATCGAGATAGAAAGAGAAGAGAAAAAACAGCCTGGAAAAGGAGAAGAAGGAAAAGAAGATATGATGATAAATTCTTTTGCTTTTTTACCCATAAACATAAGACCCTCTTGATGCTGTGTACCTGCCTCTTTGCTCACTTACCTTTGCATCTCTCTCTTACCTTCATTCTCATCTTTATCATCTTCATCTATCCATCTAATGAATGATTGACGGCTTGAGACTAACTAATGGCCATTCAAGTGTGTTTTTTGCTTGATGATTATGAAGACGATGATGATCAGGGAGAAATAAAGAGAAAAGAAAGAACATGAAAAAACATCAAGATATATCAAGAAGAAGATGAGAATGATGATGAAGAGAAGATAATAATAAGATGATGATAAAATAAAGTGAAAAGAAAGAAGATTAAATTGGGCATCAACTATATAAATTGACCTGTAACATGATGTAAAAAAAAGTAAAGACTCTGATGCTTTCCGGTGAAATCATCTTCATCTCGGACTTTTTTGCTCCATCATAATTATCATTTATTATCTTCCAACTTCTGTATTATTTGAGTAATACTTTCATTCATGATATGAATTGATTCATCTTCACAAACCATTAAATTGACCTCAACTTGATCTGTATAATCATATATACTTGCAATCATAATACTTATCTGATTTTTTTTTACTCTTACCTATTTTTAGACTGACGACCAGCATTTCTTGGCCACAAAAAAATGATACTCTATGGCCTAGATCAAAATGATTAACTTGCTGTCCAAATGTCAAAGTTATCAGGTTGACCAATAATTGGAAAGCGACTTTGGGTTGATTGTTTATTGTCACAAAATCGCCATATCAACAGCTCTAAAAGGCAAAGAGCAATTAAAAGTTGAAGATATTCGTTGTGGCCTGAAATGGATTACATTTCTACTTTTATTCCAGTGTATCAATTGGATTACCTGCTATGCCTATTTAACTAATCAAACTTCAATCCCATTGGGATTAACTTTCGCCTGTTTCAATTGTTTACTTGGATTTTATTGTATAATATTTTGTATCATCCGAACCGATTCAGTTCAACATCATAAAATCGCTCAACATTTACCTCTAATGGATTGGTGTTTTGATGGAAGTGAAACTGTAACTTCAACCAAAGAAAGTGTCTTCGTAGGATCAACACACAATGGCTTAAATCACAATCATCATCATCATCATCATACACATTCATCAAGCCTTTATGGTCCCAGTCCAGTGATACCGGTGGTAACTCATGTAACAACACAGGTTTCACCCTATTCTGATGGTACAATCAGAACATTTAAAACATCACATACAAGCGCTGACACTTTGTAAAACACCAACACCAGAAACTTTTCTATCAATTTAGTTCACACTTTTTTCACCGGAGGAAACAAGCGGTCAACCATTTTCTCATCTACAATATCTACTTTCCATTGGACGAGTGTTGTTTCCATCCACACACTAACATTGTGTTTATATTCAGTCAACAGTAGCCAACATTTAAATTTAATCATCAAATTTACCTTGGCCATGGGTCTCTAAGTCAACAACATCATCAACAACAACATTTAATAGGAACAACCTCTGGAAGAAAACATAGAATGCTGATTCCATCAGATTTTCCTGTATAATAATAGAAACACAGACCAGCATAATTACTGCTATCTAATTGCTATAAATATAATAATTATTGCTACAAGAAAATTGAACAAGTCATGATGATAGAAATTTACAGTTAATATAATGATGATGATTTAAAGTGTAAATCAACTCATTCCAAACTGCCTGTTGATCTTCATATACAATTACCATCAACACAAAACAAAAACTCAATAACAAATTGGATTCGAGGAAAAGTTTTACTCTGTAAAATAATTTATCATCATCATCACTTTTCCTCCGGTGAAACTAAAGCTTGTAACTTTTCATGTCCCTTCGTCAACCTCAACCTCATCTTCATCTTCATTTTCATCTTCATCTTGCGTCTCTTCTCAAAGTGATGGCTGTGAAAACAATAACAATTCTCTTCTCCCTTGTCTCCTTCTCTCTCCTCTCTCTCTCTTCAATTTTTTTCAGAGAGTGAAAGAGAGATCGCCTTTCAAGAATTACTTTCATTCTGTACATCTTCTCTCTCTCTCTCCCTACTCTCTTCTCTTCTCATCTCTATCTTCATTCTTTATGGAGTCAACTACTTTACGCTTTCTTGAGTCTGAAATGCAATGTGAACTTGAAACTTTTCACAAGGTCACAGGGTTATTTCTTCTTCTCTATCCTTTTCTCTTTCAATCTCCATTTTCTTTGTTCAATTTTTTTACTCTCATCATCTTTATTATTGTATTTTGATTGTTGCTTGACACAAAATGATTTACAAATGGAATATCAAAAAAGAGCCAGAGGAAAAGGTTGATTAACCAATCAATTGATGAACTTTTACAGAAATAACTTTTTACATATAATATACAATATACTTATCTTCATCGTTGATGATATCGATGATGGACTCACAATTAAGGAAGAGAAGAGGAGGAGATGATGATGATACTTTGATGACAATCAAATCACAATCTAGAATAACAATCAATTTATACAGAATTTTGCTTTCTGCTGGAAAATTTATCTCCAACTTTACTACAGATGAGAAAAAAACAAATCACCGACATCAAATTACCGTTTGATTAACTAATTGTCTTTCCAATCAAAATCCACCACAACAATAATTATTTTTGTCTTCTAATTGGAACACTTAATTTTTTTTTCTTCATTTCTACACATCAACACAATGGTCAATTCAAATTTAAACCATCATGAGATTAACCATCAAATTGATCTAATTTGATTAGAATACAAATTTTTCTCCTTCATCTTCCTTATCCATCTCTCTCTCTCTCTCTCTCTCTCTTCCGCTTCCTTTAATGTACATATAAGTGTGTCCTCTCTCTCTCCATCATCTTGATTGTGATTAACTCTTCATCTAACTCTTTTCTTTTCTGCTAATAATTTAATTGTAAATAACAATAATTTCAATTGAAATGAAAATGAAAGACAACAATTAATTGTAAATGATTAATGATATATAACACAGAGCGTTTTTTTATTGATCTCAACACACTGAATAACAACAATAAAAGTAAAAAATTTTTGTTTATTATCATAACAATTTAATGTAATCATTTCTCATTTGAAAAGCCTTCTTAATATACTGAAAACCATCAAACAATCATAATCAACTTAATCATTAACACAATCATGTTAAAAACTGTTTTCTTATTGCAATCATCTCGTGTGAGTGAGTGAGTGAGTTTTTTTTTCAATGAATTGATATTCAGGTAGGAAAAGATTACGATTAAATGTGAAAAATGATTCTAAGTGTGATTTAAGTTGTTTCTTCAACAATTTCATCTTCTTTTTTTCATGATTAACATTTCGTGACACCAAGAAATAAAACATGAAAATCTGAATGATTTAAGAAAAATTCTGATGATGAAGAGGAAGTTAAGTGAATGATGATGAGGGATGAGAGAGAGAGAGAGAGAGAGTGAAGACTTTCATCTGTAGTATATTTTCACCACCAAGGTAACCATCCAGGTAGAAAATGGTCTTAATATGAATTCATGGGAAAAATGATCAAAATTGAACTTTTTTTGCTTCTCCGATCAATCTATTAATACTTCATTAATCAACAATCAACGTAACAATTTAAATTGATATGGAAAAACTCATTCGATTGTTTTTTTTATTATCATTATTATTTCATGATACATATTGATGAGAATATGAGATTTTTTTATTACCATATTCTAAATAATTATCGTTAATAATTCAATATTTTTTTTTCTCCTTTGACTCTGATTCATGACGATGATTCAGTTATTGCATGGTAAATATTGAATATCTAAAATTAGCATTCTAATTGTTGAAGATTTATTAATATGGAAAAAGTAACAAGCTCAGAATAGAAAAGGTTTTGAGTGAAAATCAATCAGATTGATTTTGGAAGATGATACTTATCATGTATGGAAAATAACAATTAACGATCAGTGGCAATTGATTATTGATTATTGGCTTTTATTCATGGATGAATCAAATTTGAGGTCACATTTTCTTTGATGTCAACTCGAGGAAAGGTCAATCGTAGTCTTGTTGATTCTGAGGTCATTTCGTAAGTGGGAAACTTTTTTTTCATGGTGATAATTTAAATCACTTCCATTTAAGCAACACTCAATCAACTGTAATATTATCAACAATTAAGTACATGTATATGATTTAGCTTTGTTAAAGTAAAAGGTTATTAATTGGCAATGGTAATTTTCAGTATTAATGCAATTAAATCATTAAACTCCGCACCTTAGGCTTGTCATTAAGATGAACAGATTAGCTCTTGTCAGGCCTAAATTAATCTTGATCATTAATCTAATTATACACCAAGAATCATCATCATCTTCATCATGATATCTTATCAGTTGAGTTTTCATTTTCTGAGATGATGTTCATTCAATTCATTTTGATTTAACATGATGATTACAAATGATTAAGTCTCATTAAAACTTTTCACTGGTACATCATGTAAACCATTATACTTAACATTTAATGAGAGTTTATTTATATTAATTGATTACATTTGACAACAACAATCAATAGGAATCACAATTATCATTATTATTGTGATTAGCAGTGTAAAAAGACAATGGGATTGTAATAAACATCAATCAGCTGATTGAATTATCATCCTGATGAGTTGATTGTTTTTCGTTTGAGAAAAAGTTGAAATAATAAATTTTGCGTTTTCCACAATCGGTTCAATGGTCACTCGATTGTGTCAATATCGCGTGTCCAACTGTGCTTGATTACTTAAATTAACCAATTAGAAAAAGTTTCTCACCAAAAACAATTAAAAGATTAAAACAATTGAAGCTCAACATTGATGTTAACATAATGAAAGAAATGAAAGAAAAAAAAACAGAAACAATGTAAACAAAAATTAAGGTCAATCGTTTACCAATCAACTTAATTGATTAGAAGTAATAAAAAAAAAGTTCTGATTGAAAGTTTACGTTTTTTTCTGACTCACATTATTCAATCTCTTTTCATGGTCACCTTTACGTTCATTCAGTCGTTGGTAGACTTTAATACTTCACCAGTCACTCTAATTGTTATGGTTTAATTGATTGTCACTTAATTATCATGTCAATTTATCTCTGGTACCTTTATGGTCAAGTAAAAGGCCTGGAAAAAGTAAGTTAGTGGTCATCATTACCCTGGAACACATAAAGGGTGGTTCCTGGTTTTTTTTTGTATCAACATAATAGTCAATCGTTTTACTATTAAAGTTTCTGATTGTTGAAATTTCCTGGTTGATGTCATGTTTTCAAATAGTTCATTTATTGTGTTGATTACTAGTACGTGGATTCTGGTTATTGTTAGTTAATTACTTTTTCTTTATGTCTTCTTGTATGATAATACTTACTGGTAACTTGTTGTGATGCTCATTCATCATATTGTGATAACATTAGAGATGAACGATTCATTTATTATTAAAGATTCAGGATGATCCATACAAATAATGAGAATCATCAGTTTCTTTTAACCTCACCAAGGTTTTAGATATAAGATAATTGTGATTATAATGCTGATGAAATTGAATATTGATTGAATTTTGTTGATCTTTTCATTTTTCTTTTCTTTTCTCTTTTTTTATTTTTTCTTTCGGTGTTACCATGTTCTGTTTGTATATTAGTTAATTAAACACTAACATTTCGATTAGGGAATATATTTGTCTTTTGATGCCCTGGAATTCATTGGTTAACTCTGAAGATGAATATTGTTCAGACAGAAAAAAAATAATGGTGAAAAAAGAGAGAAAAAAAATAATGAGAGAATATGAACTCAAGGGGTGATAAAGGTAAGTAAGAGAATAGAAATTCTATTCAAAGAGATAAATTCTGTTATCTCTCTCTCTCTCTCTCTCTCATTCAGCTAATATCTCATGAGAATCTGATATTTGTTACGCTTTTCTGGTTTCGCAATTTTTTTATTCTCTTTCTCAACTTTTTGACTCGATCTTGATTCTTAAACTCTCTCAGCCGCTTCTCTTCCTACATGGTAACTGATACATTCCTTTGTGTGTCCCTGATATCACTTTGATTTTCTGTGAGATTTTTTCATTTTATCCAAAAATCTTGAGATTTTGTTACTTTCGTGATGATAGAGTAACTATTTCGTTTTCTCATTCTCATTCTAAATTCTGGATTATATCTTACCTCTCATGAGAGTTTTACTTTTTTTTATCTCTACTACCACCAAAGTTTCCTCTTGTTCACCTTTTCTCATTCCTCTATCACCTTTGATCACATTAAAATACCAAGAGAATGAAAGAAAAACTTACCTTTGTCTTCCTTATAATTCCAAGTTTGTCTTAGTCTTTCTTGAATAGAAAAAGAGAAAACAAAATTTCAACAATTTTCTCGGTTAAAATTCACCAAGAAAAAAGTTCAATTCTAATCCATTGAGAGATTAAATCTTTTCTTCAATTTGATTTAAAAGAAACAACAAATAATTCCTACAAAATGAAAAGAAAAAAGATTAACTCAATAAACAGAGAAACCAAACCAACTTGAGAAAAGAAAATTTTTTTTTTTTCGGTTAGAACTTTTTCGAAACGGACCAGCATCGCCATCTATCCAAAGAATTAATAACTTCACCTAACAAAATCTTCTCATTACTAACATAATAATTATAATTTGTTCTTCTTTTATTGTCTACATTAAGCACGTTAATTAGTTGATTAATTAATTTAACTTTCGTGTCTTCATGAGTAGAGTAAAGTTTGTTTTCCACAAACATTTTACTTTGAGCACAAATGAAGGAAACGAATCTCAACTAATTAACTAACTTTCCTGTTTACAAATTAGAATGAGAAGAAAAAACTTAATGAAACAATCAACTTGTGCGAGCGATCAATTAAATGATCTGATCGTGAATATCGATAAAATCTTATCCATATCAATAAGAATACAGGTAAGTTGATTGTTTTGGCCTCCGTTCTCTTATTGATTAACTTGATTTACAGGTGATGGTTTTTTCTTTGTTTTAATCTAATTCATTTTCTAATCATTTAGATGTTCCCCTAATTCGTGTAGTAATTTTAATTAACTTTTCGAGATCATTTTCTTCCTCTGACTATTAATATGTATCACAGAGAAACTTGATTCGATTCGATCCAATGAGAAAAGATAAATCAACACCAAGAGATGGCAGCAAGTTAATAGTCGATAATTACAATTACAATTAGCTTGGAGGTGAAAATTTACCAACTTTGTGACAAGAAAAACAAAACAAAGTCCAAACTTTCGGCACGAACTTTGCCCACGTCGAATTGATCTTGTAACATAATATTGTCATCAAATATCAATAATTGTAATTAATCCGTAAATAGAAACATTTGATCATCGCCTCTAATTGTATCCCACTAATCATTGATTAACTGATTGGATAAAGGATTAGCCGATTTGTTTTCAATCGATTCTTTCAACTGTAGATGAAAAGATCGGCAAGTTCAACTTGACAAAGTCGATGGTCTCGAAGTTATCATCTTTTCGGCTGGCCAATTGTTAACTGATTAATCTTTAACTTGATTGTGTTACTAATTAACAAGAGAATGAGAAGAAGACAGAAAATAAGCAAAAGAAAACACAAAAGTTTCGTCATCTGAATCACTTCGAGCTGAGCATGTCTCAGCTCAGCTGATTCACTCGAAAAGTTCAAACCCATGGAATGAAAAATTCAGACCCAAAACCAAAACCAAAACATCAACAGTATTGAAAAGTGGATAGATTTTCACTTCTCTTACCTTAAACTGTGATAATTCAATTTGTTTTTATGATAACAATTCATCTTCTTATCAATTGTAACTTGATATCCAATCAATTAAATCAGCGATTTGATTATCTTAAGATGGAGCTTCAGTCTTGAGATGAACATCATTAAGTGTAGACACTAATAAGAGACACACATCTCATTCTTGTTGTTATCCTGATCTCTTTACAAAAGACAATTTAATTAGTGTATTTACAATTAAAAGTGGACTTAATTGTCTCTTCAACAAAAGTCTAAGTAATTAACTCAACAAAATCCACTAAACCCATCAAAGTGATTTACTTTGAACAACAATCGTATCAATAATCAACATTTATCCTTTATTAATGACATTGAAATCTAATTTTCTCATCATTAGATTTTCATTAATCATCTTCCTGATCATCTAATTGTTATTAAAATGTTACAATTGACCATTTAAATTGTTCACAATTTGAGACAAAATTTTTTAATTCATCACATTGTTACTACTATTTTAAACTCAACACATATCAATTGATTAATAATCATTTCTAATTATGGTCAATCAACAATCAACAATTTACAAAAAATCATCATATGATTCAGCTAATTGTTTATCTAAATTATTTTTCTTGTAAGTAAAAATTGATTCAAATAATTAATTCCAATTGTTAATCAACTAATTTATCTTCAAATTTTCGTCTTTCAGTTGGTTGTCTAGTTTTTTCCTCGAATTTCAAAAGAAACGATTAAAGCCCAATGATCTCGAACAATGTCCAAAATATGATCAATCAGAACGAGTCGGAGAGCGACTTGAATCGTAAGTGTATTAATAGATATTTGTATTTATCTCGATTAGATTGTTTCTTCAATTCGATTGATTAATTGTACTGACCATTGTGTTCCATCTTGACCAATCAATAGAAAATGGAATGAGCAACTTAAGAAGTGTAAAAATGGAGGTGAACCAAGTTTAGGTTGGTCGATAATCAAAGCATTCGGTTGGCATTATTCATCTATATCTATCCTGCTCTTCAGTCAGGTAAGTTGATTAATTGATTCAATTAGAATTTGAATCGTGAAATAATCAATTTCAATGTATCAAAATGTACTTACAAATTGCATCATTTCAATTTCTATTGCACTTGATGATCATCATGATGAAACTTGCTCTAGATTCAGTTTCCATGGTCTCACTTTCACTATATCTCTGAATCGTTCAATTTACTAGGATAATTATAAATATCTTTCAGTATTTTCATTACGCAATTAACTCATTCTATTCACTAATCCATTAATGTTTTAGATTTTTCCTCAATTGTTACCTTAATCTTTTCTTCAGCCATGATAATGTCACCAGAGTGAGAGAGAGAGAGAGAGTTGAGATCTCGATTCAGTTCAATTGTTGAAGGAAAAAGTAACTTACCCACTTTTCTTATGATTGACATTTGATTAGTTATCTTAATTTACTCTTACTTTAGATCAATAATTAATCAATCTAATTGACTTGATTGATCTTCAACAGTCCAATTGTAATTAGTAATTTAATCGAATAACAAATAACAGAAACATTGTTTTTCCAATGAAATATGATTATTATTAATATTTCGTCATCTGATTAACAGTAATTAACATTGAAATGAAATGATTTTGTTTACACTTGACTTTTAATTTGTTCTGAGAATTAAAATCTTCCAAACAAACAATTGACGTTTAATCATCACAATGATTGACATTTTTTCCTTGCAATTATCTTTTTCCCTCATTATATCTTGTAGAGTTTAATGAATATCTCCCAGACACTTTGCATGGGATCTCTGGTTGAAGCTCTTTATGAATATAATATGAAAAACGATCAAAGTTCAGAGGTCAAGAGACGAATCTACTTAAGCGCATTCGGTGTGGTCGCAACTCAAATATTCGTTACCTATGTGGCCAATATGTACTGGTTTTTGGCACGAAAATTTGGTATCGATATAAGGGTTTCCTGTAGTCGATTAATTTTCTGTAAATCATTACGATTATCACAAGCATCTCTTGGTGAAACTACTGTTGGTCAGATTGTTAATCTACTTTCAAGTGATGTTTCTCGTTTCGATCTTGCATCAGAATTTCCCTTCTTTCTGATCGTTGGTCCAATGGAGGTCATTCTTTCTATCGTTATACTGTGGCCTATGCTCCATGTTTCCACCATCATTGGGCTGTTAGTTTTGTTCCTTTATGTACCTTTTCAAACGTTCATGGGAAAAGCTTTTGGTAAACTTCGTGAGAGTGGAGCATTTTTAACCGATGAACGGATTCGCCTTATGAATGAATTTATTCCCGCAATGAGAGTGATCAAAATGTACGCTTGGGAGAAACCTTTAGCATCGTTAGTTGATCATGCGAGAAAACGAGAAGTCGCTAAGATCCGTTGGGCTGCTTATCTGCGTGGATTGAATCTTGGACTTGGAACCATTGCCGAGAAATTGATTATGTTTATAACTCTTGTAACTTTTGTACTTTTTGGTAATCAGCTGAATGCTCGAACTGTTTTCGTTGCGATGTCACTTATTCGGCAATTACAATTATCTGTTACACTTTTCATTCCATTGGGTATTTCTACTGGAGCTGAATCATTGATAGCAATCAAACGTATACGCAACTTTTTACTTCTACCTGAATGTGAACTGACGGACAATTTAAGTCGAGGTCTTTGGAATGCTGGTGTTAAAAAGCCGAAGATCGTTTTTTCTGGTGTGACACTTTCATGGAGAGATGATAAAGAGCCCATATTGAAAGATATATCGTTTGAAGCTTCACCTGGCAAACTATTGTCCATCGTTGGTCCAGTTGGTGCTGGTAAGACATCGTTGTTAATGTCAATTCTTGGTGAGATCACAACGAAAGCGGGAACAGCCGAAATACTTGGATCTGTTTCTTATGCATCTCAACAATCGTGGATATTTGCAGGTACGAAAATCGATGATGATTATGATGATCATCTTAGTAATCGATTATTACTCTTGATTTTGACTTTATTTCTTTTTCTTTTATTAGGAACTGTCCGAGAAAATATTCTATTTGGAAATGGTTACAATTCAACTCGATATAAAAGAGTCATTTATGTTTCGGCCTTAGAACGTGACCTTGAAATCTTACCTGCTGGTGATCAAACGATTGTCGGTGATAGAGGTGCTTCTCTTAGTGGTGGTCAACGAGCTCGAATCAATCTTGCTCGTGCTCTTTACGCTCAGGCTGATATCTATTTACTGGACGATCCATTATCAGCTGTCGATGCTCCGGTAGCTAAACATATTTTCGAGAATAGTATAAAAGATTTCTTATCAAATAAGATTTGTATTCTTGTCACTCATCAATTACAATTCATGAAATCAGCTGATCAAATTTTACTCATTCGAAATGGAGAACAAGTTTGCTATGGTGATTACATGGAACTGTTGAAAAAGGGCTCAGATTTCATTAAATACAGTCAAGTTCTAGAAGTTGAACATGCGAAAATGCCAGAGACACCAGAGAAAACACTGGCTGGATTAACATCTTCTCGATCATCTCTTCGTTCTAGAACTTCATCACTGGTTATTCCCGATGCAAGTGGTTCGATAAGCTCGATCTGTGCTGAGGTTAACGAAGAAATGTCCAAGATTGATAATCTGGCGATAATCGATGAAGTTGAGGACACCGGTGTTCACGAACTTTCTGGTATCAAATTGAAGCAAAATTTTCTATGGACTTATGTTAATGCTGGAATATCCATATTTCTATTCCCATTTTGGGTCGTTTATATTGTCGGAGCTGCAGCACTGACCAGTTTCGTTGAATATTATCTATCATTGTGGGCTGATTCGATGGAGAGAAAGGGACGATTCGATTCATTCAAAGAGACTACTCATTCCAATGGGACATTCGAGTATAAAACTTTTGTTGACCATTTTTCGCAAAATGAGAGCATCGCATTTTTTGCTGGAATAACGATTATCCTTTTCCTTTGGTGTTGCACTCGAAACTTTGCCTTTTTTGCCGTTTGCATGAAATCGTCAATTCGCTTACACAATCGACTTTTCAAAGCCGTTGTTCGAGCACCGATATCGTTTTTCGACAATAACCCTCCAGGTATCGTTTTGAATCGAGTCTCTCGTGACATGGGAATGATAGACGATTTTCTTCCTGCAACTTTCTATGACACTGTTACCATTTTGAGTAACAATTTTGCCGCTTTGGTTCTAATGGCTGTGATTACTCCTTTTCTACTTGTTCCCGCTGTGATATTACTTTCATGTTGTATTTTCATACGATCTCGATATGTGAACATTGCTCGAGATGTTAAACGACTCGAAGGTGTGACAAAATCTCCAGTTTTCTCTCACCTTTCAACTTCACTTTATGGTCTAACCACAATCAGAGCTTTTAGAGCACAAGAAAGATTCAGAGATACTTTCGATGTGTTTCAAGATGAACACACTTCCGCTTATTTCACTTGGATTGCATCATCTCGTTTCTTTATAACTCTCATCAATACAACGACAGTTTGTTTCACCTTTATGGTTGTGTTAACTTGTCTTCTTGCTATCGATTCATTGAATGGAAGTTCAGTTGGACTTGTGATAACATCTACTATTGGCCTTGCATCGGGTATTCAATGGGGTATGAGACAATGGACCGAAGTGGAAACCATGATGACTTCCGTTGAGAGGATTGAAGAGATGCGACATATTCCACCTGAAGCTGAACTAGAAGCTTCACCTCCATATAAACCACGACAATCTTGGCCTGATGAAGGTCAAATTACTTTTCTCAATGTAAACCTTAGATATGAGGCCGATAAACCTCCAGTTCTTCGTGATCTTAACTTTAAAATTGAACCAAAAGAAAAGGTTGGAATTGTTGGTCGAACTGGTGCCGGTAAAAGCTCAATCATGACAGCGCTTTTCAGGATGACAGAACCTGAAGGACATATAATCATTGATGGAGTCGATGTTGCGAACATTGGACTGCACGATTTACGAAGGAAAATATCGATCATCCCCCAAGAACCGATAATTTTCACTGGATCACTTCGATATAATTTAGATCCATTTAATGTTAAAAGTGATGTCGAGATTTGGGAAGCATTGGGTCAAGCGCAATTAAAGAAACCCGTTGATTCCATGGGAGGATTGGATGCGACATTAACTGACGGTGGAACCAATTTGAGTGTCGGTCAACGTCAACTTGTTTGTTTGGCTCGAGCAATTTTAGCTAATAACAAGATTCTGGTTCTCGATGAGGCGACGGCAAATATTGATCCAACTACTGATGAACTGATCCAACAAACAATACGAAAACGATTCGCCGATTGTACTGTTCTAACAATAGCCCATAGATTACAGACAATCATCGATTCAGATAAGATACTGGTCATGGACGCAGGTCAAGTGTCTCAATTTGGTGATCCATCTTCATTGGTTGACGATAAAGAAGGTTTATTCTATTCAATGATTCAAGCAACAGGAAAAGATTCAGCAGATAATCTGATCAGAATCGCAAAAAGAAGTGCAAACATCAAGTCAGTTGAAAATAATCAACAAGTCGAACCAAAGATTTAACAAATTTTATTAAACAATCGTCAATTTCAGTTCAACAATTAAAAGTTTTTTCTTATTACTCCCCAATCAACATGCATGAATCAACATTAGCGAATGCTACACTGTCCAAATCAATATTATTTATCGATCATTTTGAAGAAAACTATCAACGATTTCTTAGAGATAATTGATAGCAATAGATTTTCAAATTGTTCTATGATTACAAATAATAGCAAGTGATTACTCATAATTTCATTTAATAATCATTTTCATGACAACGACAATGTAAGTGTCAATAATCACATCCAAAATGAATTTTACTTTTTTTATTAGTCAGTAGTTTTTCAGAATCGATAATAATTGGGAATAGTTTTGTGAGAAATAATGAATCAACTTAATGAGAGAACAGTTGATTTAATTGTTCCTTCGGGATTATTTGTTCGTTCATTACAATCAAACCGAAAAATTGATTTAGCGATTGGTCTGTTTGTTGTAATTTTCATGTGTGCCTACAGAGTTTTAAGAGTTCTGATAAACTCTGTATACACGAGCTTCAAAAAGAAATTATTTTCGACAAATTTTGGTATCTAATCTCCGATGTAAACATTGGAATCAGTATAGCAATAATGATATACCAACGGTCTAACTATCGGAAATTAATCGTTGATATAAATAGAGTATTGTCTCAATTTATAACTATTTCTAACCAATATTCAATGAAACAAAGAAAATATCTTCGAATATTCAACTTTATCATGTATTCTTACGAGATTCTTATTTTCTCTGGTAACAATGGACTGATCTACATTATCAAAGATTATATTAATGGGAATCAAGTTCCATCTCAATTAATATTGATTTACATCTTACACTCAATTGCGGCTTCTACTTGGTTGATATTTTATAATTTTATCATTGAATCTTGTATTCACCTTCAATCATATCTCACTGTTATGCTTTATGATATTGACTCAATCGATGAAAATCGTCCTGATCTTCTTAAACGTATATACAATACCCGATTAACTTACATTGAAGGTATTCAAATTACTCGAAAACTTGATTGCTATCTATCAATATTTATTACATGTTTTTACGTTCAATCCACTATTATTTGTTATCTCAATTTTGTTGAAATATTTCATGATAATACTCCATTCCTGCTGAAAAATTTGTTCATATCTGGTCAAGCTTTTTATATTATATTCATCACTTGTCACTTTGTTTATGTCAACTGTTTATCGGTTAAATGTTATGATCAAGTTTATCAACTTTCGCTTTGCTCATCAATATCCCAACAAGTGACCACTGAGGTAATAATTTTGAAATAAAAATGGCTGATAATTCAAATATAATTAAGTTTTCTATTTTGTTTCTTTAATGATAACTTCAGGTAAACTTTTTCCTGGATCGAATCAATCGGCAAGATCTTGGATTTACTTTCGCTAATCTGTTCGTAATCACTCCCAGTTTTGTATCTTCGTTAGCAACAATATCCTTAACTCTTGCTTTGGCTACTCCTGATTTATTCAAAGAAAAGTAATTCAATCAATCATAACAACAAACGTACAGTATAAACTGAAACTAAGAATACAAATTGTATGCATCTTTAAGGTCAATTTGAATTAACGGGAAAATCTATCGAATTCTCTAAACAGTTGAATGATTTATTAAAAAATTGATTCTCAATGAGATGGTACGAAACTCCAGTTCAGTAGTTCAGTCACATATTCTTTGAAAATTAATCGATAATAATATCATGTTATTCTGGTACCGGGTTTGGTTATAATGAAAACTGTTCCACGCAGCTTGATATCAATAGATTACTTTTCATTCACCATTTTGATTCAGCAAAACGAAAAAAACTTCTTAAAAAAGTCTAATTTTCATGGAAATAGTATTTAAATGATTCGTTGGTTAATCAATCATCTAAGCGAAAACAGTTAAATAATACAATAAAATAGTTCGAACTCATTTCTAGCTGATAACAAATTTTCTATGCTTATGATGATGATAATTCTTGTAATTGGATCAAAAATTGTGGTTCTAATAAAATTTCTTCGTGATAATTGAAAGCAATGAGTATCCAATATATCATTAAACTGTCAGCGATTATTATACAAATGTCAATTCGTAATTTTCATTTAGTAATATTTTATTTGCTGACAATTATGTATCGATTAGATAATCTGGATCATAATTTACTTTATTCTTGACCAGTGATTAACCAACATCGATAATAATTGAGGATAGTTTTGTGAGAAATAATGAATCAACTTAATGAGAGAACAATTGATTTAATTAAACCTTCGGGATTATTTGTCCGCTCATTACAATCAGACAGAAAATATGATCTGGCAATTGGTCTATTTGTTGCGATTATCATGTGCGCATATAGAGCTTTAAGAGTTCTGATAAATTCTGTATACATGAGCTTCAAACCAGAAATGAATTACAATCATCTTTTTATTTAATCTCCGATGTAAACATTGGAATCAGTGTATCAATAATGATATACCAACGGAGTAAGTATCGGAGATTAATTGTCGATATAAATAAAATTTTATTTCGGTTCATCGCTATTTCTAATGAACATTCAATCAAACAACGAAAATATCTTCGAATATTCAACTTTATCATGTATTCTTACGAGATTCTAGTCTTTTCTGATAATAATGGACCATTCTACATTATAAATAGTTATATTAATGGATCTCAAGGTCTGTCTCGAGCGATTGTTATTTATTTCATACATTTAATGGCTGCTTTTACTTGGTTGATTCTTAGTAATTTCATGATTGAGTCTTGTGTTCACCTTCAATCGTGTTTCAAAGTTATGATTCATAATATCGATTCGATTGATGAAAAGGATTCTGATATTTTTGTAAAGATCCACAATTCTCGGTTAATGTACATTGAAACTATTGAAATCACTGAGAACCTCAATTGTTTCCTTTCGATATTTATCACAAGTTATTATTTCCAATCGATCATTACCTGTTACCTTAGTTTCGTGGATCTGTTTCACGGTGATGTATCATTCTTGGTCAAGATGTTATTCTTCTCTGGTCAAGTTTCCTATCTTGTATTCTTAACTTATCATCTTGTTTACATTAACTGTTTATCGGTCAAATGTTATGCCAAAGTTTATCGACTTTCTATCTGTGTATCGAATAAGCAATCAGTAGTTAATGAGGTAAGTCCTTATGACGAAAAAACGAATTTTGTTCAATCTTCTTTCTTTAAAACTTCAGGTAAACTTTTTCCTGGATCGAATCAATCGACATGATGTTGGATTTACTTTCGCTAATCTGTTCGTAATCACTCCCAGTTTTGTATCTTCGTTAGCAACAATATCCTTAACTCTTGCTTTGGCTGCTCCTGATCTGTTCAAAGAAAAGCAATTAAGTCAATCATAACGATACATGTATAAACTGAAACTCAGAACGTAAATTTGGAAGTTGAGTTAACGATTTCATCTTTAGACTTACCAGCGAATCAGTGTTTCTTTTCATGTTCCTGTTAATTTTTACCCATTTTCTATTAATAGCATCATAAATTCTGTATTCTGGTAAATAAAATAACATATAATACATGTACATATTTCATAGTTCTAACGGTCAATTTGCATCAACGTGAAAATCTATTCAAACAATTGAACGATTTATGAAAAGAAAAAAATTGATTCTCAATGAGAAGGTATGAAACTCCCGCTGAGTTCAGTCACATATTCCTCGAAAATTGACCGATAATACAATCATGATATCATTTTATTCTAGTACCTGGTTTGGTTATAATAAAAACTGTTCCACGCAGCTTGATATCAATAGATCACTTTTCATTTGCCATTTTGATTAAGCAAATCGAAAAAACTTCTTAAAAAGTCTAATTTTCATGGAAATAGTATTTGAATAATTCGTTGGTTAATCAATCATCTAAGCGAAAACAGTTAAATAATACAATAACATGGTTCGAGCTTCTTGATAATTGATTTATGATAGTTCGACCATTTTCTATTCTTATTGATGATTAGTCTTGTAATTGGATCAAAAATTTACCGATGAGTCGATATTTACTGAATCTATTGAAATAATTTGATATCAATCATCATGATCAACATTTTACGATTCGTTGGGTTATAATTGCAATCAACTAATCATTCAATGTCTTTGAATGTTTATTCATTGCAAGTTTTAATCAAAGTGCTTTTATTAATGTTTCAGATTCTTGATCGAATGCTGAGTGACCAGTGGTTATTCAGTATTGAAGACAATTATTTTGGAAATGATGAATCAGCTTAATGAGAGAACAATTAATTTGATTAAACCTTCAGGATTATTCGCCTACTCTTTACTGTCAAACGGAAAATTCGATCTGCTAATTAGTTTATTTGCTGCAATCGCAATATCTATGAGCAGAATTTTAAGAAATCTGGTAATATCTCTCAGCTCGAGTTCCAAGTTCGAATTCATTTTGGAGCAGATTTGCTATCAGATATTCAATATGAACGATGGGCTAGTTGCAGCGATAATAATATACCAACGGTTCAAGTATCGAAAATTAATTCTTGATATGAATAAAATATTATCTAAATCCATTGGTATTGCTAATGAGAATTCAATTGAGCAACGAAAATATCTTAAAATTTTCAACTATATTATGGTTTCTTATGAAGTGCTATTTGTGTCTAGCGACAATGGACTTATTTATATAATCAAATGTATTACTTATGGACATCAGGGTCTATCTCGAGCGATGGTCATTTACTTTTTACATTTAATAGCCGCTTTTTCTTGGTTGATATTTTACAATTTCATCATTCAGTCTTGTATTCATCTTCAGTCCGTTTTTAACGTTATGATTTATGATATTGATTCGATTGATGAAAAGGATGCTGATATTCATAGAAAGTTACACAATGCTCGATTACTGTACATTGAAACTATTGGAATCACTGAGAATCTTAATCGTACCATTTCAATATTTATCACAATTTATTATATTCAAGCAACTATTTGCTGTTACCTTAGTTTCGTGGATCTGTTTCATGGTAATATGGCTTTGATGGTCAAGATTATTGTCTTTTCTGGTCAAGTTTCCTATCTTGTATTCTTAACTTATCATCTTGTTTACATTAACTGTTTATCGGTCAAATGTTATGATAAAGTTTATCGACTTTCTATCTGTGCATCGAATAAGCAATCAGTAGTTAATGAGGTAAGTCGTTTGTTACGAAGAAAAAAATAATTAAATGTCATTTTATCTTCTCACTTCATTACTCTAGGTAATCTTTTTCCTGGATCGAATCAATCGGCAAGATGTTGGATTTACTTTCGCTAATCTGTTCGTAATCACTCCCAGTTTTGTATCTTCGTTAGCAACAATATCCTTAACTCTTGCTTTGGCTGCTCCTGATCTATTTAAAGAAAAGAAGTACATTCAATCGTAACAATATACAATTATATTATATTAAAAGTGATATCGAGATTTGGGAGGATTGGATGCGACATTAACTGATGGTGGAACCAATTTGAGTGTCGGTCAACGTCAACTTGTTTGTTTGGCTCGAGCAATTTTAGCAAATAACAAGATTCTGGTTCTCGATGAGGCGACGGCAAATATTGATCCAACTACTGATGAACTGATCCAACAAACAATACGAAAACGATTCGCCGATTGTACTGTTCTAACAATAGCCCATAGATTACAGACAATCATCGATTCAGATAAGATACTGGTCATGGACGCAGAATTGCAAAAAGAAGTGCAAACATTATTGTCTCGATATATCTAAATCCGTGAATATGTCATTGTCCAAATCAAATTAAGACAAAGAAAAATGATAAATTTAACTCGTTAGAATATGAGATTGAACCTTACTAAGTTTTTCTGTTATATTATTATTAATACCAATTCTTCATTCTTTAGTTTCTTACTTTTTGATTTCTAATGAAAATCTATACTATTGGAAACTGTAACAATCTATTATTTATCGATCATTTTGAAGAAAACGATTCCTTAGTACTAATTGATAACAATAAATCATTAAATTGTCCAATAATTACAAATTATGTCAAGTGATCATTCATAATTTCATTTAATAGTGACTTGCATGACAACGAGATTGTAAATGTCAATAATCACATCCAAATTGAGTTTTACTTCGTTATTGACCATTTGTTATTCAGAATCGCTAATCATTGGAAATAATTTTGTGAGAAATAATGAACCAACTGAATGAGAGAACAGCTGATTTAATTGTTCCTTCGGGATTATTTGTTCGTTCATTACAATCAAACCGAAAAACTGATTTAGCGATTGGTCTGTTTGTTGTAATTTTCATGTGTGCCTACAGAGTTTTAAGAGTTCTGATAAATTCTGTATACATGAGCTTCAAACCAGAAATTATTTTCGACAAATTTTGGTATCTAATTTCCGATGTAAACATTGGAATCAGTGTATCAATAATCTTATACCAACGGGCTAAGTATCGGAGATTAATTGTCGATATAAATAAAATTTTATTTCGGTTCATCGCTATTTCTAATGAACATTCAATCAAACAACGAAAATATCTTCGAATATTCAACTTTATCATGTATTCTTACGAGATTCTTATTTTCTCTGGTAACAATGGACTGATCTACATTATCAAAGATTACATTAATGGGAATCAAGTTCCATCTCAATTAATATTGATTTACATCTTACACTTAATTGTTGGTTTTTCCTGGTTAATATTTTATAATTTTATCATTGAATCTTGTATTCACCTTCAATCATATCTCACTGTTATGCTTTATGATATTGACTCAATCGATGAGAAAAACTCTCATCTTCTTAAACGTATACACAATACCCGATTAATGTACATTGAGGGTATACAAATTACTCGACAACTCAATCGCTATTTGTGGATTTTTATCACGAGTTTTTATGTTCAATCAGTTAGCACCGGTTATCTGAGTTTTGTCCGACTATTTCATGATGATATACCAGTTCTGATAAAGATCATGTTCCTATCTGGCCAAGTTT